TGTGTGTGTGTGTGTGTGTGTGTGTGTGTGTGTGTGTGTGTGTGTGTGTGTGTATGTATATGTGTATATATACATATATATATATATATATATATACACATATACGTGTATATATATATGTGTATATGTGTATATATATATGTGTATATATACATATATATATATATGTGTATATATATATGTGTATATATACATATATATATATACATATACGTGTACACACACACACACACACACACACACACACACACACACATTCCCTTTGCCTAGCAGCTACTCCTACCATCCACCTGTCTGTGTCTCTAGCCCTTCCTAACCTCTAGCTGTTTGAAAAGGAAAATAGGAGAAACTCATTAGTCATTTTTGCAGCTATTTGTAGCTCTTAGATAAAGGTCAAATATAATAGCTAAAAAAGCTCCACAGCTATTTACTGATTCATGCTATGCTGTCTCTTAATTCATCACACAAAGGCAACCTGGGCATGCCAATAATCCTCATTCTAGAGACATTTATTTTGCATGGAGGGTTTCAAGCTTAGAACTATAATACTGATCTATATATGCAGTGCTTGCTATACCCCAGAAACTGTCCCAAGACAGGTAACACACATGTGCATAGCACACACATGTGCACATATGGACACTCACAACTGAATGCTCATCATAACCACTTTACAGACAGGAAACATGAAGAACCAAGAGGTAAAATTACATTCCCCAGGTCATCTGCCAATAAGCTACACACCAATGTTTTCTCCTTTGGCAACCTGACTCCACATTTGTGCTTTTATCCTTTATATTATGTGATAGTGACAAACGAACAACTTGATACTCTACAAACCCCCTATTCATAAAGGCCTTTTGAGCTGGACTATGCCTTTGATATCAGAGAAGAGAGAATATTCTGGAGGGAATGCAAAGACATGAACTTTGAGAAATCCTACTTTTAAGAATTTTTAAGAATGGTACACATCAATGCTGAGTCAGAAACTGTAATGATCAAAACTCATGTGCTCCATGGAAAGTCAGTTCCTCAGCAGATACAGCCCTACACCCGTGTTACAGTAGATCATATTAAGCACTGTGCTCTAGGGTACTTTTCCTCATTACCCTCATGAACAGGAAAGTGATTACAAGAAATCTATAGGAAACTAATCTGAATTGAAAAGTAAACATTAAATGTAAGATCAGAACCTTCCATTGAGCATTGAGAGAATGTGCTTAGAGTTTGCAAAGCAAACTAGATGTATACTAGCATTGGTTATTAGCCTGGAGCAACGCTTGATAATTTCCATGACTTCCCTCCATATGTGTTACGAATTTGTAACTAAAAAGAAAATTTGTGGTAAAGATATACTGTGGCTTAGCACGGCTGAACTTTGGATGTCTTTATTGCATCTCGCATTGCAAACCTTACATGTCTGCTGGCCTCAACACTATCTATCTTGTACTGTCCTCAGGTCTGAAGAGAATCGACTTCAGGACCCGAGGTACTGAAATGACACTGTGGGCAATGTGTTAGACTGTCTGTGATCTTGTGAGACAGTTACACTTCCTTCCTTAGCTTCACTTTTCTCTTCGGAAGGTGGAGGGGCGGAATTACAACTCTTCCTTAGGTTTGTTGGGGGAGACTAAATCAAGACCCTAATCAACCCTTCCGAAATTTAAAATACTTCCACTACACCTGACCTCTCAAACTCCACAACTTAGTAGCCCAGCACACTGTCGAGTGTCAGTGGCTTCTCTCTCACTGAAGGGCTGACTGCCTCTGCTGCTCCCCAGCACCACTAAAGGTTATTGTACAGACTCTTGCTAGCTTGGGAAAAGGTCAACACTCCCTCACCTTAAAATGCCAATACTGCTAAGTGCATGTTGCTTTTGGATCATTGTAAACCCTAAGAAAGAGTACATCACATGCCAGGAATTATCTGTCCATGAAAATACTTAAAATCATGCTCAGCACATCATAAACAGGTGGGAAACTTCAGCTACTATGGAAATGATGCTCTTCCTTAAATCTTTATCATCTGAAGGAACATTTAGAATTGATTTTTTGCAACTAGAAGCCAAGGCTGTATGCAAATGAATGCATTCCCTTGCAGCCTATAATTCATCACAAACCAATGGCTGGAGCAGGTCATCTGATGTTTAGCAATAGTGATTTCTTTCTCAGTGGCCCAGGTGTCAGGACAATAAAGGTTCCTAAAGGCAGGAAGTCCATAGCCTAGAACTGCTACTTCTGGCACACATTACCCTCTAAGAGAGAGGATAATGCTGTAAAGCCCCAGCCAACTGGAAGAATAAGCCTGTGTGAGAGAGGTTGCAGAATGAGAAGAAGAAGAGGAAGAGGATGAGGAGGGGGAGGGGGAGGAGGACAAGGATGAGGACGTGGACGACGAGGACGACGTGGACGACGAGGACAAGGTTGCTGCAGATGCCTGGATTTAGAGGCAGATAGATCTGGATTTGAGTCTTTGCTGCACAATACTGAATTAATTAGTCCCTTATTTTGCTCAACTTCAGCTACCTCATTTGTCAAATGGAGATGATAATGGCCAACAGGGATGTTGGGAAGAATAACTTAAATAATGTACATTAAATGCCAGGCAGTGTCTGGCACATAGAAAGTGCTTAATTGAAAACTTATTTGATTATCTATTTAGCCTTTTGAAATATTAGTTCAGTGCCTACTATCTGCCAGGTAACCTTTCAATCTCGCAGCTGTAATACATAACAAGCACAACACAGCTAGTTTCTGCAACACATTTTCCAGTTGCAATAAGGCAGCTTGAGAAGTCGCCACATGTGGTCTGCTAAGGGCTTCTCACAGAGCCCAGGAGCTGGGCTTTATAAATGCTTTCCTTATGGCACCTCAGAGAACTGCTCAATCAGCTCCAGATAACCAAGTAACACGATTAGCCTGTCCATAAAAGTCACATAAACAAGGTACTTCTAATAGCAGCTCCTCCCAGGCAAGATCCTGCTATAAAAAGATTTAAAGAAAGCAATTAGGGGACACCTGTCTGCTCATCCCCAGTGGAGCTCTGAAGGAGGGGAGGCAGAGCTAAGAAGCCAGGCACTGAGCAATGGAGATCATGGTGCTTCTGTTCGGGAGCGAAAAGGACAGACACACACTGGGGTGCACAGATGAGCATTGACATAGAAGTCAATGGCAGTTCGCAATCCTGTTTTGATCTCTCAGCCCAGCCAGCTCACCCTGTCAACGACTGCCTACTGTCTGGCAAAGCAAATGTGAAGCAGCAGCGAAACAAGAGGGTGGAGAAAGTGGAGGAGACAAAGAATGCCCTTAGCTGTTGCAAGGAATTATCAGGCCATAAGTACCTAGCTCCAGCCACACCTTTCTTCTGGGGTTGGGGGAAGAATTCAGATGCCCAGGCTACTTTGTTAGAGCAGACAGGAGCGAGGTGTCAGAAAAGGCCTAGGTAGGACAGGCAAAGAACGCTTTATGCTTTCATGATCGGGGGATCAGATATTGATGTATACCTTAAAGATACATAGAGAAGCAACAGCGTACTTTCCTAATGATAAGGATAAAACCTTGAACTCCATTTCCTGAGTACCTACTTGTACCAAGTGTCTATTTATGTCCTTTACATGCACTATCTTAACAGTCAGAACTAGGGAGAACAGGTACCTTATCATGCCTGTTTTCTAGGTAAGAAAAGTGAGGATCATTGTTAGACAGTTGCTAAGTAGTAGGGGTGAAATCCAATTCATGCTGCTGGCTGCTTTCTGGGACCCAATGTCTTTTGCAAACACTTACTTTGGGGTCACAGTAGCTTCCTGCTCAGTTGTCCTCCACAGTCCATGAGCGCCATAATAGCAAGGAGGTTGAGCTTTCTCAGGCTGGGCTCCAATGTGGCCCCTTACTGGGGGCACAAAACCACTGGGATGCAGAGCAAAGGTCTCTTGCTCTAGGAGATGCTGTGGACCCTGCCTTGAGGCCTCCAGGTGGCCCATCTTCAGGGGCTGTGGCTGCTCCAAGCCCTCATCTGGATTAGGGGCACGGGAACCAGTGGTTTCTGAACTAAAATACTGGGGTGGTAGGTCTTCCTCTTTTTCTCCCTCCTCCTCCCGCTCTTGCTCCTTCTCCTCCTCTACTTCCTCTTCTTCTTCATCACACCTCTGTTGCTGCTGTTGCTTCTGCTTCTGCTGTTGCAGCTGCAGCTGCTGCATCTGCTGCTGCTGCTGCTGCTGCTGCTGTTGCTGCTGCTGGGCTGCACGGAAGAGCCTATATTTTTCCCAGTTGGGAGGAGGAGGACGAGGGGGAGGAAAAGCCTTCTTTCGGGCCCCAAGGAGCTCTGGCTGAGTCTCATTGCTTTTAGTAAATGGTTCCCTCTGAGGCTTCCCCCAGGCCTGGGTGGTTTGAGGCTCTAAGCTGATGTGACTCTCTGAGAAGGCTCGGCTTCGCAGTGGGCGGGGCATGGAGGCAACAGAACTCCCATCTTCATAAACTGAAGACTCCTCTGCTTTGTTCAAGGCAAGTTTGAAGTCTCCAAGAAGGTCAAGAGAAGAGATTGCTCGGTAGTTTGACAAGTCCAGTGCTGGGTTCTCAAGGCAAGGATGGAAGGGAGTAGACCATGAAAAGCTGGCCTTAGAATGAGCCATTTCCCTGCAAAACAGCAGATAAGCGTTGACCAAGACAAGCATGAGGTGGATGGGCCCATATTTTGGATGACATAATTTCTGCAAAGTTAAAATGGCTACAAAATTCTAATATCTGCAGTAAATGTAATGACCATGGTGATAACAATATAATAATGGAGACAATGACACTTTTTGTGCATAAGCTAAGTACTAAACACTAGAGGAGTGCTTCTCACCCTTCCAAATGCTGCAACCCTTTAAGACAGACCCTTTAATACATGTTGTGGTGACACCCAACCATGAAATTATTTCATTACTATTTCATAACTGTAAATTTGCCACTGTTATAAATCATAATGTAAATCTGATATGCAGACCCCCAAAGGGGTCATGACCCACAGGATGAGAACCACAGCACTTTCAAGGTTTTTTTCCATGTTCAAAGTTATTTGCTCCTTACAATAAACCTGGGAGGTAGTTCTTATAGTTTGGATTTTATAGTTTTGGAAACTGAGACATAGTCAGGATAAATAACTTGTCCAGGGTTATCAAGGTTATGTGGTAGAGCTAGGATTTGAACTTGAACTGTTTAGCCAAAGTCTAAATACACACATAGCACCTCAGTCTGTTTATGGCACTCAGACTGGTTTTCCTGCTTTCGTTGATGATTTCTTGCTCTTTTTTTTACTATGAAAAGTTTCTAGTGTCTACAAATATACAGCGATTTCCATAATGAACATCCACATTCCCACTTACTACCCAGAATCAGCACAATTTAATACTTTACTATCAAAAGTTCATGAATTTTTCTTGTCTCACTCCTCACTTCCATTTTCCTACTGCCTATTTGATGCAAGATAGATTATAAATGAATTCCATATAACTTCTCTGTTCTTACATGTGTAATAAAAATACTAAATAAGCTGTTCACAAGTATCTGTCACTTTTGGTTAAAAATATTTCCTTCTGATACATTACAACCTGAAATTTCAAAAAGAACCATTAAATTATAGGCTTTTCTGAAAAATTTCAAAAGTGGATAGACTATTCTGTTACCAAAAAATTGAGGATAGGGTAAAGAAGGATTAATAATGTGAGCAGATGTGAACTCACAGAGGTAGAAGCAGCAAGCACAGGGCCTAGACGGGTACCCTGCACCAGGTCCTCTGTGTATATAAATATGGCTTCCAGTTTAGGGTTTTTATGAGATTCCAGAGTGTGAGAATGAGTGGGTATCTGACTCTTGTGCCTTCTCTTGGGCTCTTTTCCTTCTATTGGTTTGTCTTGTCCAACTTTGATAGGATGGTTTTGTTTTATCTTATTATATTCTATTTTGTTATATTAAAATTAATGAATGAACGAATGAATGAATGTAAATCTAGGCACTAGTGTAAAGGCTAACAACTGAACTGTCACTTATACCCACTGGAAGAGAGAAAATCAGTTTTCTCCATAAAGTGGCACTGGGTATATCAACTACTCTTAGGGGAGGCCTCATGGTTGGGGCAGTTGACCAGCATGTAATGGACTCCACAGTTGTGTGATTTCATTTGGCTATAGTTTGTTTTTGTTGGGGGAGTGGTAGCTTGATTTTATTTTGTTTTCTTTATTTTGAGGGGTTTTGTTGTTGTATTGAGTTTTTGCTTGTTTTTTTTTTTCTTTTTTTTGAGAAAGAACTTAAAGTTGGGTGGGTAGAGAGGAGAAGAGGACCTGGAAGAAGTTGGGAGAGGGGAAGAATATAGTCAAAATATATTTAAATTAAAAATAAATATATATAAAGGTTAAACATCTTATAAGACAATTGTAAGTACAAGTATCTTATAGGTTAACAGAACCAATCAGTAAATTTAGAAATAAGGCAAACTAGCCAGGCATGGTGGCACACACCTTTAATCCCAGCATGCAGGAGGCAGAAACAGGTGGATCTCTGTGAGTTTGAGGCCAGCCTGGTTTACATAGTGAATTCCAAGATACCCAGGACTATATATATTAGAGATATCCTGTCTCAAATAAAGATAAGGAATAAAATAGACTATAAAAACATCATCTATATAAAACAAGGAGATAAAAATTATTCAGTAAATTTTTGAGACAACTTTTGATCGGTGCTATATATGTGAATATATACTTAATATTCTATGTTATATATTTGTATAAATAAGACAAAAATGAAATTTAAAATATGATCTCTCCTAGGAAAAATAATATTCTTTTAAGTTATAAAAGATAATCTCCAAAGACAAAGTCTAGGTACTTTGACTATTTATAAAATGTCAAACTTCCACATGGTAAGATTTATCAAAATGAAATGACATCTTTTCAGCTGATTATAAAGAGGTAAACTCTTTAAACTTATGATCTTGTTTCCTATGGTAGCCTGTGAGCAATCAACATCATGCTGAGTCCTGTCTACTGCCAGGAAATTCCCAGGGTTCAATTAGATCAGCAGAGAGACTATGCATTCAACAGTCATGACGATGGCTGAGACTATTTCTTTAAAAATAACAGTACACATAATGCTAACTAAGCTTAGAGAAAATGGAAACAAAACATCATTCCCTTCATCACTGGTTCCTATATGAATCAGAAATTCATACCCACATATCTTCACTCTTCTCATGTGGGTTTTAGACTACCTGTAGACTCCTAATGCACAAATTATCCAATTCAGCATAGCCTCTCAAGGAATAAAATAAAAACAAAAAGTAGTGAGTGGACAGCAAAAGGATGGAAGATATATATCAGATAGAGAGGACCTTCCTGATGACCCTATTTATTAGTCTTAATTACTCTGATTCTACTTTGTATTCCATCCTCTCCCAAAATACCATAATGCTAACAATTTGGATATATGATATAGTTCTAATTACACTAAATCTTTCTCTTTCTCCCCCCTCATTTTTTAGGTGCGAGCACATGCATATATACATATACATATATATCTGTCCCAGCCTGTGTGTGTGTATGTGTATGAGAGACAGAGTCATGTTATATAGTCCAGGCTGGCTTTAAACTTGAAATCTTCCTTTGTCAGCCACATAAGAACTAGCATATCTTGTTATACCCAGAAGCCCTGAATCTTTATGTAAAAAAATAAACATAGAATCAAACATCATAAGAAAACTGTAGGTAATGTAAAGTCAAACAAATAAAGTCAGAAACAAATTTAAGACTGTTTCAATTTACAACTAAAATTAAAATAAGAGAAACTCTAACAAAGGCTATACTTTCTTTTCAGGACCCCAGTGAATATTTTTAATTGCCTATATATTGAGCCAGAGGCAATACAGACCACATGCTCTAATCATAATTCAGTAATACTTGAAATTAATTCCAAAAATGAAAGATGAAAATGTATAGTATATAGAAAACAAACAGGAAAACTTTTCCACTTTAGATAAAAGAAGAAATCTGAAACTTAGGATATCTAGAAACCATCAGAAGCCAGAGGACATACTTCACTAAAGTGGTAGTTCAAGGAAAATTTATAGCTCTCAACACTTACATTAAAAGATGACCTTGGAACACTCAGCCCTAAATGGGATGCCTCCATCAAATCCCTCCCCTCAGAGCTCAGGGAGCCCCACAGGAGAGGAGGCAGAAAGTGTGAGAGCCAGAGGGGATGGAGGACAACAGGAGAGCAAGGCCCTCCGAATCAACATGAGCAAAGCCCATATGAACTCACAGAGACTAGAGCAGCATGCACAGTCTGCACCAGGTCCTCCGTGTGTTTATTATGGCTTCCAGTTTAGTGTTTGTATGGGATTCAGGTGTGTGCTTTCTCCTGACTCTCGTGCCTTCTCTTGGGCTTTTTCCTTGTGCTGGTTTGTCTTGTTCAACTTCTATATGAAAGTTTTGTTTTATCTTACTATATTTTATTTATTTAATTTTGTTATATTCTATTATTATCCCTTAATGGCCTGTTCTTTTCTAATGAGAGACAGAAAGGGAGGGAAAGTCAGGAGGAACTGGGAGGAGTAGAGGGAGGGGCAACTATAATCAGGATATATTGTGTGAGAGAAGAATCTATTTCCAATAAAAGGAAGAAAAGATAATGCCAAAGTAAAATAAACAAATTAAGTACTCAATTGACAAATTCTTAAAAAGAGAATCTAAAAACTGATCCAAACAAAGCAGAAAATATTAAAACAAGTAGCAGAAATGAATATAGTAGAAAATAAATGCTATAACTAATAATGAAAGATAAAAATGGAGGGGTATATGGAAGGGTTTGGAGGGGGAAAGGAAGGGGAAATGATAGAATTATAATCTCAAAATAAAAGAAATTAAATTTTATTTATTTATTTTTTAGGGAATATTCTTTTTTTAATTTTAAATTTATTTTACATACCAAACACAGTTTCCCCTCCTTCCTCTCCTCTCATTACCTCTCCCCACCTCCCTTCTACTCTCCCCATCCCCTCCTCCTCTGTCTCCATTCAGAAAGGGTAAGGCCTCCCATGGGAGTCAACACAGAACCTTCATCCAGTAACTGATAGAAGCAGATGCAGAAATCTACAACCAAGAAATTAAATTTTAAAAAGAAAAAATGAAATAGTAAAATTGATAAACCATTTACTAATCAAATAGAATACTCCCAATTGTTCTATCTTACTAACAAACAAGATAAAAATTTCTCATACTTTATAGCTTTAAGTCAAGAATCAAAACTAAATTGCAGAGACAGAGCAGCGCCTCGGAGAGCCCGTGTGTCTGTGTCTTGCTTTAACAGTGTTTAGACGGAACAGACCCAAGGGACTCCCTCATGTTAGCTTCCATCCGCTTTTCAGTCTCTCCAGCCGCAGTCTCTGGGACCATCTCCCAGCTGCTTTTGGCTCCTAGAACCAGCCAGCACCATCTCTTCGCTGTTAACTGCACACTATGTATCAGCCATGACCTCCCCAGGTTCATCAGAACTATTCCACCGAAGTGGAGACTGCAGTGAACCGCCTGATCAACTTGCACCTGTGGGCCTCCTATACCTACCTACCTCTCTCTGGGCTACTATTTTGATTGGAGTGGCAT